AAAAAAAAAAAAAAAAAAAAAAAAAAAGGAAGAAAAGAATGTGCAATAATGAAAATGTTATGTTGGGGTGATAATTTTTCTTTTTAAAAACATCTATTGGGCCGAGCCCATGGCGCACTCGGGAGAGTGCGGCGCTGGGAGCGCAGTAGCGCTCCCACCACGGGTTCGGATCCTATATAGGGATGACCGGTGCGAGTGAGCACAATGCGGCCGGTCTCAAAAAGGAATCTATTAATGCACAGCCTTGTAACACCAAGGTCAACAATTCGGTCCCCCTTACTGGGAAGCAGCCAAAAAAAAAAAATGTCCATTAATGTTGTTGTTATATTGTGGGTTTCTTAAATACGTGACTTTAGGTTTCAAGCCTAAATGGCTTGGTGAATTATAGGTACACAAAGGAGAGTGAAATTACTTTTGACCAAGTGATTCTTATTTTATGAAGGACACAGCATCTGTTGTGATCCTTGGAAGATGAGCAGGATTTAGACAAGTGGAGGCAGGGGTGTGGTTGAGGACAGAGGGAATAGGGAAGTATTTCAGGGTAAGGACATGAGCAAAGGGACAAATAAGACTAGTCAGGCCTTACTTAAAATTCTTCCTGAATTCCCATTGCCCTCAGGGTATTTACATAGAGGATGGAACCACACAGCACGAAAGGTCTTCCTGACCCAGGTCTTGCTAGTATCCAGTCTCTTAATACTCAGTCACTCACACACTCTGCTCTAACCACTGAAATATTCACAAATCTTACCTGACCCAGGTCCCAATTCTCTATGCCTTTTTTGCTTTTGCTTCCCTTGGCCTGAAGAGACCTCCTTTGCTTGTTACCTTAGTTAACTCCTATTGGTTTTTAAAGGCAAAGTTCAAGTATAAACTCTTTAATGCAGCCTTCCCTGACCTCCCCACCCCAAGCCAAGTTTATTTTTATTTATTTTTTTTAAAGATGACCGGTAAGGGGATCTTAACCCTTGACTTGGTGTTGTCAGCACCACGCTCAGCCAGTGAGCCAACCGGCCATCCCTATATAGGATCCAAACCCGCAGCCTTGGTGTTATCAGCACCACACTCTCCGAGTGAGCCATGGGCAGGCCCTCCAAGCAAAGTTTAAAATCGCCCTTTGTGCACGCATAGCACCTCTTTTAGCCTTTAACATGCTCTAATGTTTAATTGTTTGCTTGCTTGAGAGCAGGGACTTTGTCTTTGAACTCTGTAGCAAAGAGCCTGGCCCACAGAAGACAGTAAATATTGGTTGACTTAATGAATAAATTTAAGTATCATATTAGGGAACAGCAAGAATCCAGTATGTTTTGGGCAAAAGGCATATGTAATTAGAAAAGTGACTAAAGGTTAGCTAGTAAGAATATGAAAGGTCTCCAATCTCCACTGAATTTAGGCTTAAGGCTTAGACTGTGGGAGAATACTGAAGGGAGTACAGGTGATCTGCTCATCTCAATGCTTTAAGATTAACCTGAAAATGTGTACCATAAACTAAAGGCAGAGAAAATGAAAGCAATAGCTGCAATGTGGGAAGACTTGACTTAGATGGTCTCTGTGAGTATGAAAAGGAAAATGAAAGAGAAATCATTGCAAAGGATAAATATCAACAGGATCTGAAGACTGCCATGATTTGAATTATACAGTAAATAATCAAAACATTGATACAGTGGATTTAATCTGGTGCTTTTCACATGTATTCTCTTGTTTTTCACAACATACTTGTGGTAAGTAGGACATATGGTAATAATACTTATTCACACATGGATTTTAAATGTTTATTGAGCACTTACTTTTTTGCCAGGCACTGTAACAGGAGCTAGGGATATAACAATGAATAAAGCAAGCAAGGTTCTTGCCTTCTTGTAGCATACATTCTAGTGAGGATGAGAACACAAACTAATTACAATATCACTCTTGAATGTAGAAAACTGTGAAAATAAAAACCACTGACATAAAATCCAGAGGAGAAGACAACTTTGGGAAAACTAATTCATTTGTAGACAAGCTCTGTTTTACATGGAATCAGAGAGAGGGACAATACTAGAAACATATATTTAACTTAACTGCATAAGGATTATAGGTGAAGGTTTAAGAGGACTAAAGATAAAAATTGTGAAGAAAGGTAGAAGCTTCTTGAATGGCCATCCTGTGTGGGAGCCTCAGAGATACAAATAGCCCACATCACAAAAGAGCACCTATTTTATGTTATCTTGGTTCCATCCTCTGGCCTTGATGGTATCCAAGGGTGAAGTCAAAAAGAAGGGAGAAGTTTGGCGATTCCCACCCCTAGAAATAAAAACCAAGGGCAGAATATCAGGACTTTCAGATAATATCTTTGAGAGAGTCAGAAACTACAGATTAGGGACTGCTACTACAAGAATTCTTTAAGGTTTGTCATTTTCCCACATCTGCTATTTTGTAATCTAGTGCGGTGCTGATAACACCAAGGCCCCGGATTCGGATCCCATATAGGGATGGCCGGTTAGCTCATTGGGTGAGCATGGTGCTGACAACACCAAGTCAAGGGTTAAGATCCCCTTACCGGTCATCTTTAAAAAAAAAAAAAGAAAGAAATTTACAGTCTAAGTAAGGAGGACGTAGGCAACTTAGGCAAGCAAAGAATAAGACAAGTACAAAAGTTGTAAGTATCCTAAAAGATACAGAAACATACTGAGAGATTTCAATGGAATAAATAATTACACCCCATTTAATGGGAGAAGGTGACAGGAAATAAGGAAAACCTCAGGGACTTGACCTTAAAGACTAGGTAGTAGTAAAAATAGTAACAACAAATCAGTGGCCAATATTTCTGCAGGCAGAGAAAGAGAAAGGGAAAGGGGATTCTAAGAGGAACAACAAGCAAAATCATAGCAGTGGACAACTCAAATATGTTAAGAATGATTAGAGAAGAGCAGTTATTAATAAGTAGCTGCATTACACCAGGAACTTCACATACATTATCTTGTTGAATCTAGACAATGGATAGATATTATCATTTACAGCTGAGAAAACAGTCTTCAAGAGGTTAAAGACGTATCCAAGATCACAAAGACAGCATGTAGCTATAATTTGAACTCAGGTCTGATGCCAAAGCTTACACATCATCACACTGCTGTTCCACAGGGTACGGGGGGAAATGTAGTATGTGTTAATACTATATTGAAAAGTAGTTTGTGCTCATATTAGGGAGTAGTGTGCTGAATGTAAGAATGAACAGTCCACATGTAAACTTGATAGTCCATTCCCAAAAGATAACAGCAGCTACCCTTTATTGAGTGCTTGCTTGCCAAGTACAGTGTTCAACGTTTATAAACATTATTTTATTTCATTTTTACAACTCCATAAAGTCTTATTCCACTTTTACAGTGATGAGAAATTTAATAATTTTCCAAAAGTTACAGTTAGTAAATTGCATCAGAATTCAAACTAAGGCTGTGGGTTCCAAAGTCTGTGTTCTTTACACTACTATTTATTTATAAATGAACAAAATTTTTAAAAAGTTCAAACTCACTAATAAAGGAAACAGAAATTAAAACAATGAGTATCATTTTCATCTATCAAAGCAGAAGAATTTTGTGGGGTTTTTTTGGGGTGGATGGCCAGTATAGGGATCCAAACCTTTGACCGTGGTGTTATAAGGAAAGCAGTAGAATTTTTAAAGATGAGAATACCAGTGCATTCAAAGGAGTGGTAAAACCAGCAAATTTACATACTGCCAGTGGTAAAACTCTTGTAGAAAGCAATTTGGCTAACATGGCAAGAGAATACAAGGTTAGCAGCATTCCCCAAACTTTCTGTTATATAAAATACTACTTCCATAAAATATTAACAGGGGTTACCAAAAAAAATTATTAAATAAGTTTGGAAAATTCAGGATTAATCAGAAATAAACAATTTTGTATTTGTTTTCAATCGCAAGACTTAAATGAGTTAATACGTTCTTATTTATGTAGCAAGACTTAAATGAGTTAATATGTCCTTATTTATGTAAATATGCAAGATGAGAATATGGTTTACAGTTGTTTCCCAAAATTACTTTATCACAAAAACCTTATTTTTATTTTAGTTATTTATTTCATAGCACATCTCAGAGGACTACTAAATGTTCTGAGAATCATATTTTGGGAAATACAACAACTCAATATGAGTCTAATTATGTTATTTTACATATGCTATATATGTACACAGAAAAAATAAAGGAAATGTTAACCATAGTTATCTCTGGGTTCTGGGATTACCAGTAATGTATGTGACATATTTTATTCTAATTATGAAAATATTTTCCAAATTTTCTATAATCAACATGAATTAATTTTATAATTAAAAAAATAAATAAATGTTTGTACACTCCATCCCAGTAATTCTACTTTTAGGAAATCTATCCTGAGAAAATAACCCTAAATTCAGGCAAAGATTTGTGCACAAAAACATTCATAGAGTTCTTGTAACAAAAATTCTGGAAACAATCTAAAGTCCAATAACAGAAGACAGAGGTAAGATAAGGTGCATGCCCAAACAATAAAATACTCTGCCAATATTTTAAAAGATATTTACAAAGAGTTTTTAATAGCAAGGAAAAACATTTGTCACAAGGTAAAACAAAAAGGCAAGACATAAAAAAATGTATATACCATCTGATTCAGCCATGTTTAAAAAATAAAGATTAGAAGGATATATGTCCAAGTTGAACAGCAGACTAGGGGTTGATGAATTATACTGAACAAAAATTATGTAAATAAGTTTGTATTTAAGAAGCAGTAATCTGAGGGCCGAGCCCGTGGCGCACTCGGGAGAGTGTGGTGCTGGGAGCGCAGCAGCGCTCCCGCCAGGTTCAGATCCTATATAGGGATGACCGGTGCACGCACAGTGCTCACTGGCTGAGCGCGGTGTGGCCGGTCTCAAAAAGGACAAAAAAAAAAAAAAAAAAAAAAAGAAGCAGTAATCTGGTAGCAATGGTCCGATGAAATGGAACAGAGAGAGACTGGAAATAGGATGACTATTTAGGAGTTCACAGCAATATCTGTAGGATAACAGAAACTAGAATTTTAGCAGGCACTTAGAATGGCCCAAGTACTATGCTCGGTGTTTGGCATATATAATTCTTCTACTCCATATAATAACCGTTACATAATAGTAATAATTACAGAACAATGTGTTAGATATTTTCTGTGTGCCAAACATGTATATCGTTTCATTTAAATTTCCTTCCTATAAATGTTTTTTGTTTCTGTTGTTGAGTTTTTGTTTTTGTTTTTTGGTGACTGGCCAATACAGAGATTGAACCCTGGACCTTGATGTTATCAGCACCACACTCTAATCAACTGAGCTAACTGGCCAGCCCCTCGTTTAAATTTCCATTCTCACAATAATCCTATGTTGTAGGAGTTATTCCAATTTCATCAATAAGAAAACTAAGGCTTAGATTCCTAAAGGAAATTTAGGCTTAAAATTCCAAAGGCCATATAGCTAATAAGTATTAAAAATGGGATAAGGTTGCTGATAACACCAAGGTCAAGGATTTGTATCTCCTTACTGGCCAGCCACTCAAAAAAAGAAGAGAAGAAAAAAGATGGGATAAGAGTAACAGCAGTAGGAATAAAATGATAAATTGACAACTGATGTATGTGAGGATTGGGGGCAAGACAGGAGTGAAGGATGAGGCAAAAATAACACCCCATTAACAACAAAAACACCTACTGTCACATCTTGGATTCTAATACCACTCTTCAATAAAAGGAACAAGAGCTCCTTGGAGAAATGGCTGATTCTAGGATAGAGCAAGAAATATGCAAGATGAGCTTGGACCATCTTCACAAAGTAAGGAAGAGCTAAGAAGAAAAAAAAAAAACCTACAATGATGGGGTATGTCAAAGGGACACAGGGCCAACTAAAAAACTAAAAGAGCACCCAATGTACAAAGCTGGAACATTTGAGCAATAAATTAAATAGTATGGGATTATAACTCAAAGTATAAAATATCTATAAATCCATAGTAATATAAATGATTAATAAATAGGGGAGAAGAGGCAAACCTCCTGTGCAGAAGAATTCCAAATAACCTCTGTACTTAAGGAGGAGAGCATAACTCCCTCCCTACGCCTGGGCTACAAATAGTGACTTCCCTCCAAAGAGTACAGTAAGGAAAGAAGGGGGAAAAAAAGAGTAAATTTACAGTGGAGAAGCCTTACAAACACTACCTCAGCAAGGTAATCACAGTCAACATCAACAGTAAAAAATCATGGTGATACTATGTACTCTGAAATGATGTAATGAAAATGTTACTTTACCTCTATGGTCTTCCTCCCCAAAACACATAACTACAGTCTAATCATGAGAAAAACATTAGACAAATTCCAATAGAGGGACATCCTATAAAATACCTGACCAGTACTTCTCAAAACTGTCAAGGTCATCAAAAACAAGCTGAGAAACTGTCACAGCCAAGAGGAGCTTAAGGAGACATGAGAACTAAATGTAATGTGGTATCCTGGATGAGATCCTGGAACAGAAAAAAAATTAGGTAAAAACTAAGGAAATCTGAATAATGTATAGACTTTAGTAAATAATAATTTATCATTATTGGTTCATTAACTGCAAGAAATGTACCATATTAATGTAAGATGTTAGTAATAGTGGAAACTGGGTAGTGCATATATAGGAATTCTCCGTATTATTTTCTCAATTTTTCTATAAATCTAAAACTATTCTAAAAAATAAAGTCTATTTAAAACCTCAAAAAAACAGAAAAATGATGTAAAAAGTTGACCTTGGGGGCCGAGCCCGTGGAGCACTCGGGAGAGTGCGGCACTGGGAGCACAGCAGTGCTCCCGCCGCAGGTTCGGATCCTATATAGGGATGACTGGTGCGCTCACAGCACTCACTGGCTGAGCGTGGTGCAGCCGGTCTCAAAAGGGACAAAAAAAAAAAAAAGTTGACCTTGGGCTGGTTAGAACAATGATGCCTTTAACAAAAATAATGATGAAAAAGCTGATACTGATTTTAATTAAATTGGATTTGAGGTGTGACCATATGTATATCCAAGAGTCAAAGACATTCACCAGTTAGAAAAAAGCCAGTTAGGGCCAGCCCGTGGCTCACTCGGGAGAGTGCGGTGCTGATAACACCAGGGCCACGGGTTCGGATCCCATATAGGGATGGCTGGTTTGCTCACTGGCTGAGCGTGGTGCTGACAACACCAAGCCAAGGGTTGAGATCCCCTTACCGGTCATCTTTAAAAAAAAAAAAGCCAGTTAGCTCAATTGGTTAGAGCATCGGTGTTATAACACCAAGGTCAAGGGTTCAGATACCCCGTACTGGCCAGCTGCGGGGGGGGGGGGGGGGATTTG